GGAAGGATGGACTGGGGAGTTGTGCTGAATGCTGTTGAGAGGTATATTCAGATATTATGTTACTGAAAACATGAATGAGGAACAGTGTTATTAGGCCCTTTGAGGGATACATATGGGCATATAAACTTTGAATAAGACCCAGACTCTGTCCTTAAGATGTTATGAAGAGAAATATGAGAAAGAGAAATATGAGACATGTACATTCTACTTTTAACCTTATGAGGATAGGGACTAGGTTTGTTTTATTTATCACTGCATCCCTGGGAGTGTGTCTAGTATTTGTGGTAGCTTTTAAATATATATTTGTTGACTGATAAATGGTCAAAAGCCTCTTTTAGAGGTCTCTCTGTATTGAATTTTTCCATACTTAATTATCTAAGACTATACTATCAGAAATGAACAATTCATTTACCCAGTTTATTGAAAAGGACATTTATAAAAATGGAAATCTTAAAATTTTAATTTATTTGACAGTCATCAGGTTAATAATTACTGATGCCTGAGTGAGTGACATCACCAATGAAGAAAGCATAGATGACCAGAAGACATGGTTGAAATGCCACTTGCCATTGGGAGATCATTCAAAGACAAGGAGATTTTCATTGGAGGTTGTCCAAAGGGCTTAATGGAGTAGACACATGAGTTGCCCTGCAAAGGATTGTTTGGATCTGGGGACTTAAAGACAGGAAGTATGTTCTGGCTGGAAAGAGAGTAATAATGCAAATTTTGCTTATATAGATTCTTTCAGTTGTTCATGTGAGGTAGAAACTATGTTTATTCATTGTACTCTCTATTCTAGGCTCTGTAGAGGATCTAAAAGTACATTAAGTACTGTTTGTGCCTTTAAAGAACTTAGATTGTATGTCACATTTTTCTGGGCATCTTTGACATGATATAACATGAGATATTACATAAAGAATGTGGTGGAGCTTTAAACAGTTTCTTTACCTGAATTATATTATAGGATATTATAGGATATGTTGTAAATATCAGATTGTCTTTAGGGTTTCTACTTTCTTTTCTTTCTTTCCTTTTTAAGCAAGAGACTGGGAAGTCAAATGCTATTTAATTTAGGTATTATGCTTTTTCTGTTAATAGTTTGCTAAATAAGGAGACAGTTTTATATTTTATTTGTAAAAGAATAAGGGTTCATTCCATTTGTCACCATTATATTTGTGTCACCTTGCTGAATCAAGACCTGGTAAGAGGCTGAATTCACAGAAGTTTGTCCTTGAACCTTATAAGTCTATCTCAAGCAGTAATTTCTGATGCCAGCAATACTCAGCTGAGTGATGAGTCTACTGGGAGTGGAGATTCTATTAAAACACTCAACTTTGAAAAATACTATAATTCGTGTACTCAGGAAATACTTTAGATCCTGACAGTCTTCTCTTTTAGTGTTTGTAAAAAGACATTGCTGTTTTCCTGACAGTGGACCACTGTTTTTAACTGAATTCTTTTATTTGTTATTGGCAGTCCATGAAGTCAAGCTATGATCAAGGTAATTATGCTAGTACACCTTATTGTAACTATTCTAAAGAATAATTTAATATAAAGAAGTTCTTCTTAGATCTTACCCAATAATGACATAAACTTGTAGATTAACATTATATTTAGACTCTTCTTTATTCTCTCTCCAGGTGACCACATTCATATTCATGCCTTTACCTTTTACTTGTATGGTAATGACTTCCAAATCTGTATCTCATACCTAAATATTTGTGACCAGACCTCCATTACTGCATTTACTCTTTTACTCTTCTGTAATTACTGATTTACTCTTTCTCTGACCAGCCTGTCTCTGACTAGTCTGTAAGGACTTTGAGGGCACGGACTACATTCAACTTTTTTCTCGCAGCCAGGTGTAATGCACAAGCAGATTATTTTAATCCTGTTAATAGTTGCTTTTAGGTTTTGTTCATGCTGTTCTGTTTTGGGTTTGCCCTTCTAGAATGTGACCCTTTTGGGTCTCAGTTTAAACCTGAGGTATATTCCTTGGCAGTTCCACTTTGGCTGGCCTTGAACTCCAGCCTTCAGCTGGCTGCTGAAGTGTCTGATCAGCTTTTAGCCTTCCAACTGTTGCTCTCTGCTAGGTTTTTGAAATCTCTTTTGCACAGTTTTGGGTTGGTAAACTTCTCAAGAGCAAGTTATGTGTGGATCTTTGGGCTTACTTTTTTGTGATTCTCTCCTCTTTGAGTTGTACTGCCCTCAAGTCCCAGATGCTTTGGCCTTCTCACACTGCAGCCTTTGTCTCCTTAGCCCATTTGGGACTTGTGTTTGCTATGAATTGACACATATCATTAAAAGAAAAAAGCCAAGTTGAATGTGGAGCTCACCTTACTCAGTTAACTTTCTTTTAGGGATCATAGCCCTATTAGGTTCAGCCTGATTTGTTATTCTCCAGTGCTTTTTAATGGTTGTTTTGTGTATTTGTTTTTTATATTGATTTTGTTGAGAGACTGGGTTTGATATAAGGCATTTTTTTTTAGTCATGGTTGGCTTGGAGCCCATGTGCATGCATTTTTTAAAAAGTTTGTTATTTTGTTTATTTTTATTGAGGTCAAAGTCACAAAACAATCAACTATTTTGTAGTATACAATTCTGTGACATTTTGTACATTCATAATGTGTGTGCATGCATTTTTAATTTATCTAAATGATAGTACACTATAGCTCTTGTTCTTTGTCTCATTTTCACCTAACAGTATTTTTAAGAATTTTTCCATTTTACTTTACCAATCTAATTTTTTGAGTAAATCTGAACATCTCTGAACACTGTGCATTTGCCAGATAAAGAATTGGTAGCACTTTATATTCCACCTCTTAATGTCTTGGTGCTTTGTATATAAATATACATGTGGGAAAAATTAGATGAATTAGAGACTTTCTACTCTCCCTCCTAAGGGTAGTATTCTGCAATTTACTGAAAGTCTGTGACTTTAGATAATGATAGAATGCAGTGTATTTAGTGATTGAGCTCAAAATCTGGGTGTTCCAAACTGCTTTATTGCTTATTAATTCTGTGACTTTTGGGCAAGTTACTGAACCTATCAGTCTTGGTTCACATCTCTATGCTGAAAGTAATAGTGGAGTAATGGTGGGTTAAATTTAAAGAGGATAAGATCATATAGACACTTATCAAAGTTCTGGCATGTGTTAAGAGCATAGTAATGGTAGCTGTTATTGGTTGTTTGGTATAGACCATAGATGATATTTTATCTTCCTATTTCCTATGAATACTAACTGTATTTTTGTGGTTATACTGCTCATTTGGCACCCAAAAATATGGTAACTTGTATTATTATTATTAATGAGTCATGTTCTTTTGCTTTGGTTAAGTATAAACTTGTAGAGAACAGAGATTTTCTAGAACCTAGCTGAGTTTGCTTCTTCTAAAGATTAAAGAATGCGTTTTAGCTCAGAAGTAAACCCATGCGTGTATAGTCAATTAATTTATGACAAAGGGGCCAAGAATATACCATGGGGGAAGGACGGTTTCTTCAATAAATGGTGCAGGGAAAACTGGAGAGCCACATGCAAAAGGATGAAACTGGACCCCTATCTTACACCATACACAAAAATTAACTCAAAGTGGATTGAAGAACCAAAACCATAAAACTCCTAGAAGAAAATATAGGTGGTAAGCTCCTTGACATCAGTCTTGGCTATTTTTTGGATCTGACACCTAAAGCAAAGGACATCAAAAGCAAAAATAAACAAGTGGAACTACATTAAACTAAAAAACTGCACAGCAAAGAAAAAAAAACTGCACAGCAAAGGAAACTGTTAGCATTATGAAAGGGCAACCTACTGAATGGGAGAAAATATTAGGAAATCATATATCTGATAAGTGGGTAATATCCAGAATACATAAAGGACTCATACAACTGAATAGCAAAAAACCCAACAATCCAATTAAAAAATGGGTAGCTCTGAATAGATAATTTTCCAGAGACATATAGATGGCCAACAGGTACATGAAAAGATGCTCAGCATCAGTGATAATCAGGAAATGCAAATCAAAACCACAAAGAGATATCACCTCACAACTGTCAGATGGCTGTTATCAAAAAGACAAGAAATAACAAGTGTTGGTGAGGATGTGGAGAAAAGGGAACCCTGTGCACTGTTGGTGGGAATATAAGTTGGTGCAACCGCTATGCAAAACAGTATGGAAGTTCCTCAAAAAATTAATAGAACTACCATATGATCTAGCAGTTCCACTCTGGATATTTATCTGAAAAAAATGAAGAACTAATTAAAAAAGATAGATGCACCCCCATGTTCATTCCAGCTTATTTACAATAGCCAGGATAGTAGAAACAATGTGTCAGTTGATGGATGAACGGAGGAAGAAGATGTAATATATGTGTGTGTATGTGTATATATATATTTATACAATGGAATATTCAATAAAAAGAATGAAATCTTGACATTTGCGACAACATGGATGGATCTTGAGTACGTTATGCTAAGTGAAATAACTCAGAGAAAAGCAAATACTACATGATTTCACTTACATGTGAAATCTAAAAAACAAACCAAATGAGCAAACAAAACAAAACTTCTAAATATAAGGAATAGATTGGTGGCTGCCAGAGGTAGGGGGTTGGGGGAGTGAAATGGATAAAGGGACTCAAAAGGTACAAACTTCTGGTTATAAGTCATGGGGATGTAATGTGCAGCATAATTACTATAGTTAATAATAGTGTATTGCATATTTGAAAGCTGCTAAGAGTAAATTTTAAAAGTGCTCATCACACAAAAGATTTGTAACTATATGGTGACCTATTGTGATGATCACTTTGCAATATATACAAATATTGAATCATGTTTTATACATGAAACTGTGTCAATTATACCTCAATAAAAAATTTTTTTAAGAGTAAAAAATAAGAATGTGTTTTTAATCTTTCTCTCTTTTTAAATTTATTTCTCTTCTCAATTTTGAGAAGTAGGAAACATTTGTATTTCAATTCAAAACTGAACTTTTTTTTCCAGATAACCATGATGATTACAGAGACTGCTACTGTGCCTTTCGCTCCTTTTGAGGATACATTGAGTCGGATGCTGTTTGGCTGGCAGCAGCAGTTTTCATCATGTGAAAAGAAAAGTGAAACAAAATCATCTTTTAATGGTACTGGTTCATCGACCTCAAAACCTATAGCTGTTGCTTCAGATACTGTTAAAAAGAAACATACTAAGAAGTCTGAGTAAATTTACTTTATGAGCTCTAAAGGAAGAAATTTTTTTTCTTATCTACCTGTCTGATTGTGATAAATATTTCTGTGTAAATGATGTGAAATAAAGATTACATATAAGGAATGGAGGTGACAAAAAGAAAGAACTTCATTCTGTTTCAGGGAGATTGTCTCTTTCTGGATTGTAATTTTTGAGTGTTTTGAGTGTATCATGTGAAATTGTTTTCCTAAGTTATATATAAAAGATTCTGTTGGTTATTTTCATAGTTTTATATTGATAAAGGAGGCTAGATTTTTTCCTAATGTTAGAAAAAGTAAACTTACTATCATTGCAGAATAATAAAAATTAAAGCCTTTGTTTTATTTAGATATCTTCATACACATTTTTAATAGAATCTGAGCTTTAGTTCAGCAAAATTAAACTTATACTTAACATTACTATTATAATTCCTAGATATGAAATACAATTTCTATTTAACTTTGAGCATTGGGAAAAGTAAACCTTACCTGAACCACTTTATATTGTGAATGAAAATAAATGACTAGTTTATATTTCAGATATAAACATTGTATTTTTTAACCCACATTAAATGGAAAATATTTGAAATTTTATTTAATTTTTTAAATAGTATTTTTCAGCAAGAACAGAGTATTGGTATGAGTCATGATCTGAAGTCTATTTCATGCCCTTGTTTATAATGTTCCTTTTTCTCCAGATAAAATTAGGGTATAATTTTTAATAAATTACTAAGCCCATGTTTTGCTTTGTAAGTTTCATTTTAGGAGCTTATTTTTTTCTCTCTTAAAACACATTCATTTTAACTGTAGAAGAAATTCTTCTTGTCAGCATTTCACATATTCTTAACTTCATTCTTATCTTAGCTGGTCTGGATACAGTGATGGCAGTATCTTTAATGATTTGGCATTTCAGTTCAAAAATTTTCCCTTGTGTCTCCTTTCTACTGGGTACTTTTCAGTTTTCTAGTTAAGTGTCTCTTACTGGTTTGCATATGTTTGTGTTATATTTTAATCTACATCTACGTATATTATTTTATTTTAAATTAAAACTAATTACCCTTATGTGGAAATGTGCAGTTCTAATGAGAATTGTCCTTGGGCATTTGATATTAACCAGCTAACCAAGAAGAATCATAAACTAAAACCTCATACAGTAGTCCATTTGAGTGAAGAATGATGTTAAATCTATCCTTATTGGAGAAAAAGAAGAAGAAAGGATGATAATGTTAAACTTTCTTGCTTTATTTCTAGCTTAAAAATCTAGTTGTAATTTTAAAATACTGTGACTAACATGATTTTTTTCTACCAAGACCATGAACCTACCTGCAAAGAGTTAGTATGTACATAAGGCATTTGGGGATGGCATAGAAGTACTCAAATCACACTGAAATCAGAAATTTTTTGTTTTTAAAATCTTTTAATATAAACACCAGCAGGGTACTATACTTTTACTTGTTAAATCAAAAAAGATTTTGGAGGGGGGGAGGACCTTTGATAGCCTTGGGATGCTAAGAAGTTTACTTTTAAATATTGTAACAAAAAGCATTAAACATTTGGGTTTTGTATTATATTTGATACTCTTGTAGTTAAAAACTTTTCAGAATTAACATGTTACTAATTATTGATTTAGCTTTGAAGTGTGGGTTTAACTATAGCTGAAATGGTAGGAGTGTTGTTTTGCACTTGTATTAAAGACAAATTTATTAAAATAAGTTATTTAGCACCAATGGAGTACTACATTATTTTTATGTTTTTTGTTTTATATTTTTCTTGAGTTAGGAGTTCAGAACTCCTCTGGCATTTTGACTGTTATACAGTATATATCCAATGATTACTGTCCAAATGGAGTATTGGTACAAACTTCATTAATTTAAATGTGCATCCCTATAACCTTCAATTTGAGGTTCTTAGAAAAAGCCACTGGAGAACGTGGCTTAGGCTTGAAACCTCCCACTCCAGATCTATTCATGTTGCCTAGACTAGAGACTTCACTAGGTTTGCAAAGCAGATTGTTTAGACTTCTTTCCCAACATGTAGCACGAGAGAGGCCTATGGCCCTGTTTCACACGACCAGTCATAGGCAGCAGTGAGAAAGTCAAGAGCTGGTAGGTCTCCTTAAGTAAGAGGAGACAAGATGCTGGTAAGAACATGGGCTGGCTTAGCCCAGTGGTTTCACCCTCTAGTGAAATGTGGCCAAATTAATATCAAACTCTGATTTATCGAATTAGTCACTCTTCTTTGCTGAGGGAGTAAAGGCTGGAGAGGGCCCAGATATGTGGAGTAGGTGGATTTCAGTGGAAGTTCCAGCTTCCCTCTAGGCAGAGACCAAAAGGTGGAAATGAGAGAAGAAGGGAGAGATTCCTCTTTTACTGTATTTCTTTGCCATTTCTTTGAGGCCAGACACTTCCTTTAAATCTGCCTCAAAGCTCAAGTGGATTGCAGTTGAGTGATATGTTGGAAATGGAATAATGTGTTTCTTCTCCCCACTGTTCTCTTGGAGTTTACATTCCACTGGTGGAGAGTCTTACAATAAACAAGCAGATACGTGCTTGTGGTGATACCAAAGGTTGTGAATAAATATTAAGCAGGACACAAGGATAGAAAGTGAGGGACTCGGGGGTGTTTGTTGAAGTAGCATTTTTAGAGAGGGCCTTTCTGTTAAAATTGCATTTTAGCAGAGACCTGAAGAACACATGAGGGAGCAGGCCAGGCAGACATCCGGGTAAGTGCAAGGGTCTTTCGGTTTCTCTACATACTTGAGTTAGATTATGTATTTTTTCCAAAAAATTATTGAATTTATTTTTCTTAATAAGTATGATTTCACTCTTCTGGTTTTTAATAGAGATATATTTTTTTTAAGATTTTATTTATTTATTAGAGAGAGAGAGCACAAGCAAGGGGAGCGGCAGGCAGAGGGAAAAGGAGAAGCAGGCTCCCCGCCAAGCAGAGAGCCCGATGTGGGGCTCGATCCCAGGACCCTGGGATCACGACCTGAGCCCAAGACAGATGCTTAACCGACTGAGCCATCCAGGCACCCTGAGATATTTCTTTAATTTGTTTCTATTTTTACATTTTTTCTCTTGAGGTGAAATTTACATATGATGAAATGCACAAATTGTAAGTGTACATTTAAATAGTTTTGACAAATGCATACAACTAGATTTCCTAAACTTCTGTCAAGATATAGAACATTACCAGCATCTTGGGAAGATCCTTCCCAGTTAAATCTGCCTCACCACCCCAAACTATTCTGAATAGAATAAATAGAATCAGGCAATATATTCTCTTTTTCATAAGACTGCTTTCATACTCAGCATAATATTTTTGAGACTCATTAATCTTGTTGCATTTATCAGTAGTTCATCCCTTTTTAATTTCTTATACCACATTTTCTTTATCCTTTTGATGGGCTATTTCTGGTTTGCGATGTTCTGAATAAGCTACTATGACCATTTTTGTATAAGTCTTTTGATGAGCATGTTTTTATTTCTTTTGGGAAAATACCTAGGAATAGAATTATATTTAGTTTTATAAAACAAACAAACCTGGTAGACCTTTTTTTACAAAGTGGTTGTACCATTTTATACTCCATAACATTGTATGAGAGTTCCAGTGTTCTACATCCTTACCAAGGATTAGAGTTGTTAAACATTTTAATTTTGCCCCTTTCCAATGGGTTTTTTGTGGTTTTTATGTTTTAAATATGTATTTTCCTGATGACTGATGATATAGAGCACTTTTTTGTGTGTGCTTATTGGCCATTTGTTTATTTCCTAATGTGAAGCATCTGTTCAGACCTTCTGTCCATACTTTATTGGGTTTACTTTTTTATTATTAAGTGTAGGGGTTTTTATGTATTGTGGATATTGATCTTTTGTCAAATACATATTTTGTACATATTTCCTTTCTGGTTTGTGGCTTACCTACTAGTTTTTATAATGATGTCTTTAAATGAGCAGAGGTTTTTAATATTGCAGAACTCTAATTTCTCAATATTTTATTTTACAGTTACTGTTTTCTGTGTCTTAAGAAACTTTTGCCTACCTCTAGGTTATGAAGATATTTGCCTGAGGAACTCCAAATAAAGTAGTACCTAGTTTTTATTCTAAGAAATACTTAGGAGGGAAATACTTTATGCTATTATGTAAAGTCATAATTTTGTTATTCAGCAAGTCACTCAGGCCTAATTTTTAGTTCTGCTTCTTGAAAATCATTGTACACCTTATATGTGTGGTCACTTTTTCTGTGCTCCTGTTACAGTTCGTATATTACAGGAATTTAGTGCTTTTCTCAAGGTGTCTGTTTAGGGACTGTGGACAGGCTTGACCTTGTTTCATCATAATCCTGAAAATATAGAAGAGATGGTAAATAAGAATGTTAGAATAGAATATATTTTAAAAATGAAATAAATCTCTAAGCTCAGCGTACGTATGGGACTGGTTGGAAAGGTAGTGGTCCATATTGGAATATATAATCTTAGTGCATATTTGTGGTGACAGAGTGTGGACCAGTGATCTGGTATGAAAATCAGTAGACCTCAGATTAATTTACATGGCAGATTGTCAGGTTACCCATCACAGTACATTTATGTGGCATGGTTAACTGAAGATAAGTATTACTTTATTCTATGTTTAATAAAGATACTTAAGATTTAATTGGGATCAAGAAGAAGTCAATTCATTTGGTGGGATTATTATCAGCAAACAGTAGTTTGGTTAGGGAGGCAGAGGATTGGAGGGCCTCCTGCCTGACAAATTTAGTAACTTCATAAGTATTTTTACCCCTGTAGAATTATAGTATTAGTAAAGAGAATAAAGTTGATAATGGACATTTGTATTTTTTATAAACATTTTGTGTAATCATGCAATCATGACTTACAAATCCATTCTAATCACAAAAATAGACTGTACTGAAACCTTCCTGGAAAATAATACAAAATGAAATGATTCCGTCTGTGGCTTATAAATAGCATTTTTATATTTTGACATCTTAGCTGTGAGAGGAAGTACATAGTATCTTAATTAAATTTGCAAAGGACATTAGATGTTATGAAAGCCCATAATGACAGGAGAAATTCAAAGGTCTAATAGTTATGTTTGGGAAATGATTTGGCTTAAAAAATACAAGTATGTAGCCAGGAAGAATTATATAAGACCTAAACCTAAGGAAATATACATGTATTCTGTAATAAACTGTGATTGACAAGAATTAATGAAACATTAACATGTTATAGTCTTTGTTTTGAGCAGCCTGACATTTTGAGGGTTACCTAACTGAGGAAGAGAGAAATTCATGTTAGAGGACATACAGCAGTCTTTGCCAAAACTGCGCACCTAAAA